TGCTAGTTGGTGTTCATGGATACGCTCTGCTAGCCTTCTGCCTGTCTGTCCTACATAGTGGCTGTTACAGTCCTTACACTCTATGTTGTAGATGACTGCTGTTTTTTCTTCTTGAGCTACTGGGTCTTTTGGTTTACTAAAGATGTTTTGGAGTGCCTTATCCAGTCTTTGCATAGTTTAAGAAGGAATCTACCAACTCTTTAACTGATCAGGCAGAACATTCCATGTAGCCAATGATTTGATGATTCTCTTTGCTCTTTACAGTTCACCTTTCCTTAAGCCTGGCCCTTTATTTGCATTAAATTCTCTGCTCCTTGCTGGGCCCTCCTGAGGCTCTGAGGAATCTGTACTGCTTTCCAGAGAACTAACATCCCTTCCTTTTTTCTTTTTCTTTTCCTCCTGGCTCTTTTCTTCTGGGGCTCCCCAGCACAAAACAGGATGATTTCTTCATCTTGCATGAAGCTGAGGCAGATACACTCCTGGAATCCATCTTCAAGACAGAACTCATTAGCCTTCTGTGCAAACGCTACGAGGAAGCCACCCGAGGAAAGCTCCAACTCCATTTCAGTGACACGTGAGCAGACAAGATGGTTGGCCAGAAACCTAATTTATTTGCCAAGGGCTGCTCAAAGCAAAACCAGTTCCCTGAACAATAGGATTCCAATTCAGAACCTCATTCAGCTTCTCAATCATTGCTGTGTTTCCCACAGCAACCATGAGCTAGAAGCATGCTTGTTTTTGTTCTTGCCATTCCTTTTAGCTATAGATTCATCAGTCTTCAGATTCAACTGGACTGGAAGCAGGAAGCCCCCTGAGTCTAAAAAGAAAACCTGCTTAATCAAACCAAAAAGCTGTTTAGAGATCCTTTTTTTCAAGCAAGGGTATCTGCAAGGGGGGGACAACAAGGTCAAAATGGTGGCCATCTTGACTCTTGTTGACCCCCTTGCAGATGGCTATGTAAACAAGAAGCAGAACTTTGATCATGCAGCTGTGGCTGCCACTTTAACTTTTGTGCCCCCCCAGATGCCCCTGGTGATTAATCCTCCACTGTTCTTCCCCAGCAGCAGAACAGAAACATACAAATAATCTTCATGATGGCTAACCATTTATGGTCCACTCGTCCATAAATTTGTCTAATCTCCTTTTAAAGCTACGTTTATGGCCATCACCACATCCAGTGACAATTGCTTAATTTTGGCTTGGATAAAGAAGTCATTCGTTTTTGCCGTCCTTAAAGCCGGCCCTACCAAGGGGCAAAATGGTGCTTTGGTCCATCTGGGCTCTGCTGGACTCCATGTGATGAATCACTGAAGGCAGTTCAGTCCGCGCCCAAACGTAGCATGAGAAGGGCTGCAAACTAGACGTTGCCTCCCCCTCACCTCTTTTAGACCAGGGCAAACCTTAAGTGTAATAATCTGGATTGATTTCCCCTTTCCTCATTTCAGACTACAATTCCGTGTGAAGAAGGAAGGCTGGGGCGGAGGTGGCAACCGAACCGTGACTTTTATGAGCGGTCCAGGTGGCGTGGCTGTTCTCAAATCATCAGGAAAAAATCTTTGTGTCAGCATTGGGAGCGGGCTGCCCAAGAATTCCAGTAAGTCTCAGGCTTACGGCTCTCGTCTGAGAGGCTAAAGGAGGGGGCCAATTCCAAGTTGAAGGAATCTGGTCAGATGAGCTTTTTCTGGTACTCTTCCTGCATCAATCATTTCTGATGGTTGTTTTGGCTTCTGGAGACCAGGAGAAGGGGAGGGGAGGGAGGCTAAGATTTCAAAACCATACCCCCATCTCCAAGGGAAGTTTCAACCAGGGATAAGCAAAATGTCCATTTTGGATTCTCTCCATTTCTCATTTTTTTGTCTATTTGCCCATTTTCTTTCTTCTTAGTTTCTCAATTTTTCTTTTATAAATTTGAGCCTTTGTTTTTTTAAAAAAACACCATTTGCAGTCAAGGGTCTCTACAGAATTATGCATCTTCCTCCAAAGATACGTAATTTGTTTTTGCGATCTTGCTTAATAGATCATATGGGCAAAAGGTTTTCCATCATCAATTTTATTTACGTACATTGTTTGAATGCACTTTTGTGCTGAGCGTTTTTAAAAAGATGTTGCTTTTTTATTGGGAAAAGACACTGCAAAATAAAAATTAAGCAAGCACAACTGAGTTTTGGCTCATCAACATGTTCAAAAAGGGCAGTCAGATCAATATGAATTCAGCTTTGCTAACTTCTCTCCCACCCCTAGTTTAAGCTTATAGGGAGCCAATATAATACACCGGGAAAACCTATCCGTTAAAATGCCAAAATGTATTTTTTTAAAAAATTCTAAGTTGGCATCGAAACAATTGCAGTGCTAATGTTAGCCAAACTTTGAAATGGGTGGGATTTCTTTATTCCATTCTGTTTGGCCACACAGAAGGTTTCTC